CCTCCTCTTCCTCCTCCTCCTTCTCCTCCTCCTTTTCCTCCTCCTCCTCCTCCTCCTCTTCCTCCAGCTCCTGCTCCTCTTCCTGCTCCTGCTCCTGCTCCTGCTCCTGCTCCTGCTCCTGCTCCTGCTCCTCCTCCTTTTCCTCCTCCTCTTCCACCTCCTTCGTCCTCCATCCTCCATCCTCCGTCCTCCATCCTCCATCCTCCTTCCTCCATCCTCCACCCTCCACCCTTCATCCTCCATCCTCCTCCTTTTTCTCCTCCTCCTCCTCCTCGTTTTCCTCCTCCTCCGCCTCCTTCTCCTCCCTTCAAGTATCGGCCCATGGTTTCAACGGACCGTGGCCGCTCAGAGGACGAATTCCAGGTGATCGCCGAATTCGTCCTTCTTCACCTCGTCGTAGAAGCTGTTGTGGTAGCAAACGTCGGAATCCTCCACGCGGGAGTGGTCCTGGGGCTGCTGGTCTCGTTCCTGTCGCCGTTGTCGCGCGGGTCGAACGAGACCCTGCGGTTAGGTGGCTGCCTCGCGCCGCGGCCTGCTGCGTCTCGCAGGCTGCCTCGCGCCGCCGCCGTACTCGTGGTGATAGCCGTCGGAGTCGTCCTGGTAGGAGTGGTCCTGGGGTTGCTCGCGGTGTCTTCTTCGGCCTGGCACTGGCCGCAAGTGCCGTCGTGCTCGGGCGCGTCGTCCTCGCCGGCCTCGAACCAGTTGACGCTGGCGGTGGCGCCAGCGAGAATAGCCTCGATGCGGGCTGGCATGGGGAAGTCGTCGGCGGCCATGGAGGCGAACGAAAGCTGCCGCGCTGGGTGGACAAATGCCTGCCGCCTGGAGCGCTGCAGTGGCCGCTGCTCGCCGCTGCGCGCCCGTTCTTGCCGCTGCTCCCGTGGCCGCAGCTGCCACCGCCGTCTTCTCTCGCACCCGGGTGCCCTCCTCCGGAAGTAGCCGCAGCCGCGCGCGCAGCTGATGACATCTGGGTGCTCAGCCTTTCGCCCTCTGCCACTGCCATCTCTTCTCGCAGTCGTTCCCCCCGAACTGGAGCTGAGGGGGTCTGCATTTCCTGCCTTCCGCAGCTACCTGTTGCAGCTTCCTGTTTTCGCAGACTGGGGTCCCAGGCCATAACTGATGACATCTGGGCTCCCAAACTCGCGGCACCTCCCGCTGCCACAGCCGTCTCCTCTCGCGCACGAGCGCCCCCGTCTGTTGCTGATGACGCGGGGTGTCCCTGCTGAGCGCCATTGCCCGCTAGCGCTGCCTCTTCTCGCACGCGTGTCTCTGCCTGCAGCTGACATCGGCAGGACGTCCTTCCTTGCGGCAGTCTATTTTCTCGCTTTACGCACGCTCAGGTTCATCGGGTCTCCTCGCGCGCTCAGGCTCTGGCTTGTGTTTTCGCCCTCCCGCATCGCGGTGTTTTGTTGCACGTCTGCGTCCCAGCCTGCAGCTGATGACGCCCCTTCTCGCAGGCATATATCCCTGACTGTCGCTGATGACGTGTTGCCTCCCAGCCTCGCTGCGCTGCGTGCTGCCATTGTCTCGTCTCCGTTGCATGCTCGCACACGTGAATCCCAGGACGTAGCTAATGATGCCTGGGCGCCCAGCCTCGTGCTAGTGCCCGCTGCCACTGCCGCCACCTCTCGCTCACGAGCTTCCCCGCCTGCCACTGCTGACGACGGGTGTCTCTGCTGAGCGCCACTGCCCACTCGCGCTGCCTCGTCTCGCATTCGTATGGCATCGGCTGGGCGCCCTTCTTTGCAACACTTTGTTTCTCGCGTTGCGCGCGCTCGGGTTCGCCCGGCACTTCTCCCGCGCAGTCATGCAGCGCTTCTCGCGACCAAGGCCCGTCGTCGCAGCTGACGGCGTCGGGCTCCAGCTTCGCCTCCCGTCTCTCGCACGATGGTTTCGTTGTGGCTTCTGCCCTGAAGCTGACGGAATCGGGTTCCAGCTTCGCCTCAGGTCTCTCGCACGGTGGTTTCCCCGTGGCATCTGCGCTGTAGCTGACGGCGTCGGGCTCGCGCTTTGCCTCCCGCTTCTCGCAACGTGGTTTCGTGTTGGCCTCCGCATTGTAGCTGGCGGCTTCGGGCTCGTGCTTCGCCTCCCGCTTCTCGCACGGTGGCTTCGTCATGACCTCTGTGCCATAACTGACGGCATCGGGTTCGTGCTTTGCCTCCCGTTTCTCGCAAGGCGACTTCGTCGTAGCCTCTGTGCTGTAGCTGTCGGTGTCGGGCGCCTCCTTCGTCCCCCGCATCTCGCATGTTTGTTGTTTCCTTTCTCCGCGGCCTCTGCACTGTAGCTGACGTCGTAGGGTTCTAGCTTCGCCTCCAATTTCTCGCACGGTGTCTTCGCCATGGCCTCTGCACTATAGCTGACGGCACTGGCCTCGTGCTTCGCCTCCCGCTTTTCGCACCGTGGCTTCCCCGTGGCCTCTGCGCCGTGGCTGACGGCGTCGGGCTCAACCTTTGTCTCCAGTTTCTCACACTGTGGTTCCGCCGTGGCCTCTGCGCTTTAGCTGACGGCTTCGGGCTCGTGTTTCGCCGCCAGCTTCTCGTACGGTGACTTCGGCGTGGCCTCTGCACCGTGGCTGACGGCGTCGGGCTCGTGCTTCGCCTCTCGCTTCTCACAGCGTGGCTTTTCCGTAGGGCTGCACCAGTGCCTGCTGCCACCGCTCTCTGCGTTCATTCTTCTTTCTTGATCGAGGTCGAAGTCGGCCCATTTTTCTTTAACGGTATGTCTGGCGACTGGGGTTCAGCTTTCCCAGCCGCTCCATGTAAAGGTAAGGTCGAAGACGGCCTGTCGGAAGGCCACCAGCCGCTGCCTCCTCTTTGACATGCGTTCAGCTTTGGACTGCGTAGTGCATTGTGTGGAGTGCCGCTGAGAGTCCCTCAAGGCGCACATCTCATCCGTCACCAATCAGCACTGCATCGGCGCGGCCGCCAATCGGGCCCCGGGGGGGAGCTGTCAGGGCACGGAGTGCCTCATCCCCCGGGGGCGCCGAGCGGCTCGCGTGAGCCCGGCCTCCTGGGCGGCCCGATCGGGGGCGATCGCGCGAGGGATCGATCGACCGACCCCGACGCCAGCCAGATCGGGCCCCCGCCCAGCAGAGGCCCGATGGGCTTGAGCCAAAATGGTTTGAGCCAAAATGGTTACGGACCTCCTCCCCTTTCCCCTCCTCCTCCTCTTTCCCCTCCTCCTCCTCCTCCTCCTCCTCCTCCTCCTCCTCCTCCTCCTCTTCCAAGCTGGGTGCGCTCGCGCCTCATCTGGCATGCCATCCCTCCCTCCCATCGCTTTCCATGGCGCTGCCGTTTCTGTGTCCGCGGACGAGTGTCGTAGCCGACCTGCGACTCCCACAGAACAACTACTTCGTGGTATGCCCAATCGAAAACAGGTGAGCTGCGTGCACAGGAGGATTAGGTCGCGGGTGAGCAGGAGGATGAGGAGCGGGAGGAAAGGGATAAAGACGAACAGCAGCAGTAGCAAGAACTGGAGCGGAAGGATCGGGAAGGAAAGGAGGACCAGGGGAAGCCGGAGGGGAAATGAGCGGGGCGACAACGAGGAAGAGACACTTGGAGTAAGAAAATTGGCCCTCGCTGGGGCGAGACGACCAGCAGCAGCAAAAACTGGAGTGGAAAGGGCGGGAGGAGTAGGAGGACAGGGGAAGACGGAGGAGGTGAAATTAGCGGGGACCACGATGAAGCTGGACTCGTATCCAGAGAATTGGCCCGCGCTGGGGCGAGAACGCCATTCTGAAAGACAGGAGCAAGGCGCTGATCCGAAAATGAGGCCCACGCTTTAGCGGGAACACCATTTGAAATACCGAAAACCATCGGATTGTAAATACACCATAGGAAAGAAAAATGTTTGAAACCTGGCTTAGACACAACACCACGCGGAAAGACGGGAGGTCTTCCGCACAACTTCAGAAGAGGAGGGAGAGTAGTATCCATGTTGTTTGATTGTGTAGGGAGGGAGGGAGGGGGAGGGATCAGCGGGGGAGTCATGGCGATAAGGGGCGAGGGAGGAGGAATGATGATGATGATGATGATGATGATGATGATGATGATGATGATGACGATGACGATGACGATGACGATGATGATGATGATGATGATGATGATGATGATGATGATGATGATGATGATGAGGGTCGAGGGGGAAGGGGGAGCACCAATGTAAACCCAAGACTCGTTGAACATATTTTCAAAAAAACCCTCCCTCCAAATTCCCGCATTATAGGCCCCTACCAAAATTAATGTTCACTGGGGGATGTGCCCCGCTGGAAGACGATCGTTTGAAAATCCGGATTTGTGCCAGAACGCCGTTCCTGGGACTTCAACGTCGCGAATCATGGTTACTGTTACGTCTTGACGATACTGAATCGCGCCAGAACACCATTCCTACGACTTCAACACCGTGAATCAAACTAACTGTTGCTCCCTGACAGTCCGACACCGTGCCAACACACCATGTCTGGGACGTGAACCATGGGATTTCATGAAGCCGTCATCCATTCTGAAACGAATGTGCGCGGCACTAAAGCGATAACCACATTTTGAAAACGAACCGCCCTCCATCCTTGAAACTCTTGCAACGTTTCCAAACGAAAAAACGCTGCGCTAAAACGAAGAACACATTTCGAAATTGATCCGCCCTC